GTGAGTGAGTGTGTGTGTTTGTGTGTATGTGTGTGTTTGTGTGTGTGTGTGTACGCCTGTCACTTGAAATAAGATACATTTTAACTAAAATAAAATAATATATATTATTAAAAAAACGTATAGCTCATTTTTCTCAAGTTCATAAATTTACTTATTCACTAAAATAACTACAACAACAACAAAAAAATAATAAAAGAAATACCTATTTTTAAAAACTAAAATTAATAAAAATGACAAAAAAACACTTTTGATATAATTTTAAAAATAAATATTAATATTAATAAAAAATACTTGGTATGATTTTTTAATATTTTTATATTAAATGTTAAATTTGTATTAAATGTTAATTTTTAAATTGCTTTTATTACATTTTATTAAATATTGTATTTTAAATAAATTGTATTTTTCATATTTTATGAAATATTTTTAATGTTTTATTTCAAAATGTCTTAAAATATATGTTAAAAATATTGTATTGTTCGTGTTTATATATAAAATATTTTATTTTGTATATTTTATATTTTAAATATGTCTATTATGAATTACTTTTTATTTTATTTTATTATTAAATAATCAAATTATATAATATTTTTTTACATTAAACATTATAATTTTATATATATTTTCTAATTATATATATTAGAAATAATATAATATAATATAATAATAATATAATAATATATTAGATAATATAAATGTTCTAATAGTTGTATCTCGGCCAAATATTGTCCTATCCTAACAAACCATACATCAATGGAAACATTATTTATTCATCTTTCAGATATTGCAAATATCAATATTATATATAAAAAAGAAAAATTGACACTTAAGACTGCTTTTGTGCTGCAGGGTCACATATGTGCATGTACTGTTACATGCAAATTAGTTTTGCATGATAAATATTTTGGCACACACAGTGTAAAATAAGAAGCAGGAGAAGCACTTCTAGGAAAAACTGATGTTAGAATGAGACGCTCATCATCATCATGTGTGTGCTTCATCTGAGAGCGATTACAGCCATCAAAACGTTGCTCGGAAAACCGATCCGCCATCCTTTCCTGCAAAAACAGGAGCCGAGAGCTTTCCGTCACTCGATCCCAGAACCCCCCTCCTCTCCATCGGCCCCGAGACTAATGACATCAGCGGCTCTTCCGCGCACCCCCTCCGCTCTCTTCCCACAATGTTGTTTCTGTTTCTTCTCGGCAGTTCTGTTCGGTGAGAGTGACGGGCCCAAGCCCGCCGCGACCCCTTCCTCGGCCCACGGGGCCGCTTGCATCAGACCGGGCTTCGGTTTCATGTGTTTGGATTAAAATGAGTTAAGTTGTAACTCTACACTCCCAGTGGAAAGAGATGGAGAGACTCTCAGAGAGCGGCGCTTATAAACACGGCGTGTCAGATATCAAACGGGAATAAAAGCCAGATTTAATAAGGTCGCCGTGTCAGTCGTGCATCGGTGGCCGTGTGAGCAGACGTGAGCTACGGTCACATCTGGAGAAAACCAGCTCAGCGGAGCGCGTGGCTGTGATTCAATACATACTGAACCTTGTAGACAGCACTGCGGGAATCATATGACGCGAGCTGCTGAAGCTGAACTAATCCTACATGATCTGCCCTTTAAAAATGACTTTGGTTAATGCAACTGAGTGATTCAGACATATTAAATTAATGTCTTCTAGTATTTTGTATTAAATGTATATTTTTAAAATATCTTCATATTTAAAATATTTTATTTTTCATATTTTTTAAATATTGAAATATATTTTGTTTCATATTTTTAAATGTAATGTAAATATGTTGTTTTTAATAGTTTATTTTTATATTAAATATATTTTATTTTTCTTATGTTTATGAAATTGGTTTGGTTTATATTAAATAGTTTCTTTTTAAAAATATTTTATATTATTTTTAACGTTTATTAGATATTTCATTTTTTTTATATGTCTATACTGTATTTTTTTACTAAAACTTATATTTTTATAAATATATTCATATTAAAAATATTTTATTTTTCATATTTTTATTAAATATGTTTCATTTTTTAATAATGTAATATTAAATATATTTAATTTTTCATATTTTTAAATTTAATATTTTATTTCTATTAAATATGTACTTTTTAATAGTTTATATTAAATATTTATTTTTCAAATAAATAAAATATTTATTTTTCCTGTGTTTACGTAATTGCTGTTTTATATTAAAGTTTATTTTTAAATATTTTTTCATGTTTTATATTAAATATATTATTTTTAACGTATATATGATTTCTATATCATATATTTTTTTATTAAATACCTTATTTTTATATTAAATATGAACAAATTACACCATGTACACAGCATTTCTTATGAAATATGTTTTAATGTTTGTAAAAATATTACATATTTTTTATGTTTGTCATATTTTATATAAAATATTTTATGACATTTCAAATAGTTTACAGTACATTTTATTTTGATTTTAGTAAAATGTATTTTTAAAACGAATTATGATGCATAACAAAACATGTATCCAGTGTGGGCAGCATATCAGGATGCTAGTTACCCTGCGTTCCCATCAGGCTTCTCGACTAACCGAACCAGCCAGACTTTCAGAATCGAGCAGTTATAAAGCAGCAGCAGCAGCAGAGCAGCAGGAGGCTCTCTCACCTTCATCTCCTGGCGCACGTCTCTCCGCACGGGGTGAGCAGGTTTTCGGCTGCGCTTGTTCTCCGCCGGTCGCCCCGTTTCCATCTCGAGCATGACTCGCGGAGCGGCGCGCGGGACGACGCTGTCACGCGAATCTGACGCGGCGCGGGAACAATGAGAGGAGCGCAGCGGAGATCAGGGAGGAGGTGACACCCGACACCCGCCGCCTCCTCCTCCTCCTCCTCCTCCTCCTCCGGATCCGGAGCCGTTCCGGCTGGAATGCGAGGCTTGAGCCCGGCGGAGCCACAGCGTCCCTCAGACTACCACAGCATTTGTTATAAACACTTTTACTGTAGTAAAAAAAAAAAAAAAATGTTGTCACGTGACTTAAAATGTGCCGCGTTTTTACATAAGTAAACGTATTATTTATTATAAGTGAACAGCACTTTTGAGCAACATTATTATAATGACGCACCCTCGCGTAAGATGTCCAATACATTAGTCTTCTAGAAAGTCGCGTCACGCAATTTGGCTACTACAAACAATATATTTATTTATGCATTATTAAAACAAAACAGCTTTAGTTTAAAGTATTTTAAAGTTTGTGCACTATTTATTTGTTTATAAATAATAAAAACGAACAAAACAAAACAGCTTTAGTGTGAAGTTTTTCCAGAAACTGCTGGCAGTAAAATCATGCTACTTATAATATATACTAAGATACTGAAATGAGTAGTAGTAATTTAAAGAACACCATGGAACTTCCATTAACATCTATTAATTTTGGTTAAATCATTACTATTAATAATAGTATAATGTTGTTCATTTAATGATATTATATTAATAATAATATTCACATAATAATAATAATATTTTTTTAATTTCAGGTGTGGTTTATAAAACGTCGTGCAGCAACATTACCATAAAAGCTGGAAAAAAAACAAAACCGATTTGTGTTTGCTGGGAAGGTTCATCTAAAGAGACTTATACAGTGCACTAGCATGATTTCAGTATTGTCCAAAAACATGGTTGTTATGTGAGTAGTAAGTAAAATCTCTTTCTCAAACACACAGGGACTCTGCTCAGTGTTTCGAAGAATAAGCGCGCTGGTGTAAACGGAGAGCCCCAGTTCAGGGCCCCGGATCAGGTTTCGTGGCCTGCGGGTGTCATCTGATCCTCACTGGCCTGCAGTCTGCCCTCTCTCTCTC